TTGAGAGATGCCGCCTATTTTAAAAAAAGTCCCTTATTCTCTATAGAAAAAGATGCCATACAGATCCAGCTATTTTATGACGACTTTGAAACAGCAAACCCCTTGGGGTCTAAAAAGGGTATACACAAATTAGGTGCTATATACTTTACATTAAGGAATTTTCCCCCAATCTTTAATTCATCATTGATAAATATTCATTTGGGTGCTCTTTTCCATGCGCAGGACATCAAGCGTTATGGTTTTAATTTGATACTTGAGCCACTTGTCAGTGATCTTAAAGTACTCGAGACAGAGGGACTTAAAGTTCCCAGATTGAAAGATGTGATTCACGGTACCATAGTTCAGGTCACTGGTGATAATCTTGGGTTGCATGGTTTATTTGGCTTTGTGGAGTCATTTGGGGCAAGGTATTGTTGTCGTTTCTGTCTCCTTGAGAAAGATTGTTTTCAAACTGTGTTCTGTGAAGATGATCCAAAAGTTGTACTACGAACTATCGAGATGCACAAACTGCACTGTCAAACTTTACAAACAGATCCTACACTACCTCATATCTATGGTGTCAAACGCATTTGTCTGCTGAATTCACTACAGTATTTTAATACAGCCAACAATTTTTCTGTAGATATAATGCACGATATTTTAGAAGGAGTTGCTCAGTTTGAAGTCAAACTTGTCCTGCAGTACATTAAGGAAAACTTCCTAAATGCTGAACAACTGGCTGGTAGAATACATGCTTTTGACTATGGATACAATCAGCAGCGAAACCGTCCACCTAGAGTAAAGTTGTTTGATGGAAGTAATGATTTGGGGTTGAATGCTATACAGTCTTGGTGCTTATTACGTAATATGCCTTTGCTATTTGGTGATTTAATACAGTCAGATGACCAGCACTGGCATCTTCTACTTTTGCTTCTACACATTGTTAACATTGTATTTTCCCCAGTCCTTACAGAAGGCATGACCATTTACCTCAAACATTTAATCATTGATCATCATCAGCTCTTCAAGCAGTTGTTTCCTGCAATCAATCTCTTACCAAAGCATCACTTCATGATTCATTACCCTCGTAATATAAAAAACATCGGCCCAGTTCTGCACATGTGGTGCATGCGTTATGAAGCTAAACATAATTTTTTTAAGAAGCAATTAAAAAGCTTTAAAAATGTAACAAAAACATTAGCCAAAAAGCACCAAAGTTGTATGGCAATGTATCGAGAGTCCTTTAGCAAGGAAAGATTAACTTTAGGTTCGGGGAAGATGGTAACACTTAGTGAGCTCAAAGAAGGTCCCGAGATTGCTTTAAAATTTGGGTCTGTATTGTCTACCAGTGTGTTTTCTGCCAAGTGGATCAAACATCATGGTACAGAGTACCGCCGTGACTTCATTATCTGTACTGAGGTAGCATTTGAGATGCCTGTATTTTGTAAAATCAAAATTATTGCTGTGAAAGATGACTGTGTATTGCTCTGTGGAAAACTGATGGAAACAGTGTGTTTTGATTACCATTACTATGCCTTTAAGGTCAGGATGCATCCAGACAGGGTTCAAAAGGTGATCAACATTACTGAACTGTGTTACTTTAAACCTTTTGATGTTCAAATGAAGTATGGAACGACAGATTCCTCCTTGTATGTTGTTCCCTATTGCCATTTTATGGAAACCTAAGGTCAATGTTTTAAAAAGGGATTTGTATTCTTAATATATTTTAGCCTGACATAGTTGAGCTGTTAATAAAAATTTGAAATGCATTATTTTGTGGTAAGTTGTGATTTTTACTCACTTAATGGAGTATTTGGTGTAATTTGACACTAAAAAAGTGTAAAATGAATACTGCTGAGATTTATTTCCGTGACACTATACGGTGTTAGAATTTGACTCTATTTGAGCTTGTTTTTCACTGCAAGATAGTCAATTATCAACACAATAGTGTGTAACATCAACACTTATCAGAGTTATTTTAACCTTGAGTGTCAACTCCATGCAGTGTTAAACTGGACTGGAATCAAACTCAATCAGAGTTGATTTGTTATTTTAGAAGAGTAAATGATTAACTCTTCCAAGGGTAATATTTACACTCTCCAGTGTTATTTAACCTTTAGTGTAAAATTAAAATAACACTATTCAGTGTAAGCGAGTGTTAAATTTTTACTCTATTTAGAGTTAATTTAACTCTAAAATGTTAACACTATGAAAAGAGTCAAATTAACACTATTTCAGGGTGGGACCATATACACTCAGAAATAGTGTTAAATTTAACTCTTTAAGTGTTACTTTAACACTTCAAAATTTACTGTGTACATTTGTCATAATTTGGTTGTAATCCAGAGTGGTTAGAAAATGTATATAGATCCTCTATGAGGCTGTGGAGGGATTCAAGTTGTGGATTTAAAAGAAAACATGAATCATCAGCGTACAATGACACCTTTTTTTTTAAGCCCTGGATTTCTAATCCCTTGATATTATTGTTGGATCTGATTTTAATAGCTAACATTTTGATGGCCATAATAAATAGATATGCCAATAGTGGACAACCTTGTTTCACTCCTCTTGACAGTTTAAAGTTTTCGGAGAAATAGTCATTATTTACTATTTTACACCTAGGGTTACTATACATGATTTCAACCCATTTTATAAGAGATTCTCCAAAATTGAAATGCTCCAGGCATTTATATATAAACCTCAGTCATACTTTATCAAATGCCTTTTCAAAGTCTGCTGTGAATAGCAGTCCTGGTTTCCCTGATTTTTCATAGTGTTCTATTGTTTCCAGTACTTGCCTTATATTATCTCCAATGTATCATCCATGTAAAAAACCTGTCTGATTAGAATGAATAATGTCCGACAATACCTTTTTAATTCTATGCACTATACATTTTGCTAGAGTTTTTGCATCACAACACTGAAGTGTAAGGGGCCTCCAATGTTTTAAATGGACTGGATCTTTGTTTTCCACTTGTATCCTGTTTCAATAATAATGAAATCTTCTTCTTGAGTGTCTGATAATCTACCATTAAAACATGCTAATAATGGTCCTCTGAGTATATCAAAAAAGGTTTGGTATACCTCGACTGGTATGTCGTCCAACCCTGGAGTTTTATCGGACTTAAAGTCTTTAATTGCATCCAGAAGTTCCTCCTCTGTAATTTCACATGAGTCTTGCTGTATGGCTGTTAATTTGACATTATCAATAGAAACAAAATCTCTTAAATTAGCTTCAGTTAGAGAAGATGGAGGCGACTGAAACGAAAACATATGCTTAAAGTACTTTGCTTCCTCCTTCAACATATCATTTGGTGAATCATGGGTGACTCTGTCATTTGTAACCAGTTTCAGTAAATTATTTTTGGTAGCATTTCTATGTTGAAGATTAAAAAAGAAATTGGTGCACTTTTCCCCATATTCCATCCAGTTTGCTTTATTTTTATAATATATTACACTTGATCTTTCTTGAATAAGTTTCTCAATTTCTTCCGAGCCTCTATGTTACAGTTTTTATTGCTATCCATCTGTTCTGTTAGACCTTCTATTTTCTTTGTTAGTATGGACTCTATTGACCTAAATTGCTTTTGAGATGAGTACTGAATTGTATGGCCTCTAAAGGCACATTTGAAAGTGTCCCATACATTTAAATTTTAGTAGACACTCATATCCAGAGCGACTTACAGTTAGTGCATACATTTTCATACTGGCCCCCCGTGGGAAACGAACCCACAACCCTGGCGTTGCAAGTGCCATGCTCTACCAACTGAGCTACAGGGGACTACAATAAGGGGATTTGCTGTACCTATGTTATGTGGGAAAAAATCAGTTATAAATTCCTCTGTCCTAGTTAAAAACAAGTTATCATCCAATAGGCTTTGATTAAATTTCCAATATCCTAGCCCACGTGGAAATTCTGTATGCCAATTATATGATGAACCGACCGCATTCTGTCCCCTATCAACACTTTTTAAACTTTTGGTGCCAACGAGAATGACATAAGAAAGAAGTCAAGAGGACTAGCTTGATTGAGTCTCCGCCATGTATATCTCACTAGATCAGGATATTTAAGCCTCCATATATCTACTAGTTCTAATGTTTCCATGACATTCACGATTTCCTTAAGAGCATGAGGGTGATAGTTTGTAGTGTGATTTCCTTTACGGTCCATTGAGCTATTTAAAATAGTATTATAATCTCCCACCATAATAATAGAGTTTTGTATTGCTTGCAGGGTTGATAATGTATTATATATATTGTCAAAGAAGTGTGGATCATCATTATTTGGTCCGTAAAGTTTAATGAGCCATATCTGTTTATGGTCCAATAACATATTTTAAATAATCTACCTTGCGGATCTGTTTGAACAATTTGCACATTCGGATCGAAATAACTATTAATTAATATCATCACCCCTTTTGACTTTCTTTGCCCATGGGAGAAGTATATTTCGCACCTAGCATGTATTTGCATATTTCCGTAAGGGAACGCCTACTCAATTCTCCCTTGCGCTCCTTCCAAACAACGCAATTTTTATAAACTTTGGCAAAGGTAAAGTCTACAAATGTTAGTTTTGGAAACAGAAAACTGTATGGAGATCAAATTTTTCATCGATGAGAATATTAGCAGAATGTCTTCTCCCACTACCTGCCACTGGGCTTCCTCTCATCATCATATTTGGTAGTGAGTGGAACCGCCAATCGGATGCTTCACATGTATACAGCAGGTGAAATATTTGGCTCATTGTTCCAGCCGTGACCGCCTTCACACTCCTGTACAATAGGTGGTGGTGTATGCACCTTTCAGTTAGTTACAGTCTATGGTTGCGAGCCGCTAATACATTTTAAAGAAGAAGAAGAGTTTCTGGGGAAGATCTCATTTGTCCTCGCGTCATCTCTTGGCTCTCCAAAACACATTGGATGAGAAAGCCAGAGCCCCCGCCCCTCTGACCTTCTCCTCCAATGGGTTTTGAGAAGGAGACTAGGACGCGAGGAGTGTGCAATTGAGGTCTTCCAATGTTCAGCTTGTTCAGGCTAGCTAGCTACCACTACATTCTAACCGTACAAGAGCCAAGACACGAACGAAATAAGCCGCCGGTGAACGGCGAGAAAGTATCTACAAGTTTTAACCTTTTTGTATTTTTGTGTAATTTGATTTAACTGGTGGAAAATTAAGACAATGTAAGTTAAAAAGCATGTTTCTTGAAAATGGTTCATTGTCAGTAAAACTAGCTAGGAAGCTAATGTTAGCGATGATGTCGTTGTTGAAGGATGGGTGTGTTTGATAGCTAACAACTAGCTAGCTGTTGTATCGTTAGCTAACAGTTCCGGATTAGCTAAGTATTAGCAAATTAGCTAAAATGGCAAAGGCGAATTATTTAAATAACGTTAGCTGTATAACGTGGTAACATTATAGCTATAACTAATGTTAGCTGGTACTTAACTCACTGTCAACAACGTCAACGTTAATGATGGCCAACTCGGTTAATGTAACGATAGCTAGTTTAGCTAACCCGGTAATTTAGGTAGCAGGGCGTAACGAACGTTAGCTAAAGCTTTGACTAGCTAGCTAATGTTAGCCATAAAGAACATTTGTGCGTGTCTTAGCTAACTAGCTACCTAGCTAAAATGTAACGGTTTGCTAGGTAATAATGTAAAATAGGCAAGTTAGATGTATCTTTGTTTGTCTCTACTTCCATAACGTACATTTGTCTCATGTGTTCCCATGCCTAGTTAACGTTAGAAGATGGCTGTGAACGTTTACTCTACATCTGTGACCGGCGACAACCTTAGTCGCCATGATATGCTTTCTTGGATCAACGAGTCTGTACAGATGAACTACGCCAAGATTGAGCAGTTGTGCTCAGGTCAGTAAGATGACGTCTAGATCAAACCGGAAATACGTCCATCGGCATGGCTAATTAGCCTGTGATGGCTGTTGATCCGAACGCCATTCAAAGTGTGATAGTTATTTTCGATCAACCGTTACTTGGAGATACTTTCTTCGTTTTCGATTCTGAAGGCATCGGTGATTTATAAACTTCTGTTTCCAGTTGCAGGTGGAAGTCCCAAAAAAATAGAATATTCAGAAAATTAATACATCGAATTTTTCCACCATGTGAGGTTAATGGCGAACATAGCTACTAGACATCTGGTATTTCCCATCTTTGCAGGAACTAGTAATTTCTAAGCAAAGCAGTGGTGGCCACATGTCGAACAAGATGACAGCGCTTGACCCAAACACAAAGATTTGCACACATGCGATAGGCCATTTCTCACTTGATACAAAAAGTGGATTTAATATTTTTCTGAATATTCTGTTTTTTGAAGTAACACCTGAAGACACCGGTGCCTTCAGAATCGATAACAAAGACCAAATCCGTTGCTGACAGGTGTATAAATTCCAGCACACAGCCATGCAATCTCCATAGACAAACATTGGCAGTAGAATGGCCTTACTGAAGAGCTCAGTGACTTTCAACGTGGCACCGTCTGTCCTCGGTTGCAACACTCACTACAGAGTTTCAAACTGCCTCTGGAAGCAACATCAGCACAATAACTGTTCGTCGGGAGCTTCATGAAATGGGTTTCCATGGCCGAGCAGCCGCACACAAGCCTAAGATCACCATTCGCAATGCCAAGCGTTAGCTAGAGTGGTGTAAAGCTCGCCGCCATTGCACTCTGGAGCAGTGGAAACGCGTTCTCTGGAGTGATGAATCACGCCTCACCATCTTGGCAGTCCGATGGACGAATCTGGGTTTGGCGGATGTCAGGAGAACGCTACCTGCCTCAATGCATAGTGCCAACTGTAATGTTTGGTGAAGGAGGAATAATGGTCTGGGGCTGTTTTTCATGGTTTGGGCTAGGCCCCTTAGTTCAAGTGAAGGGAAATCTTAACCCTACAGCATACAATGATATTCTAGACGATTCTGTGCTTCCAAATTTGTGGCAATAGTTTGGGGAAGGCCCTTTCCTGTTTCAGCATGACAATGCCCCGGTGCACAAAGCGAGGTCCATACAGAAATGGTTTGTCGAGATCGGTGTGGAAGAACATGACTGGCTTGCACAGAGCCCTGACCTCAACCCCATCGAACACCTTTGGGATTAATTGGAACACCGACTGCGAGCCAGGCCTAATCGCCCAACATCAATGCTCGACCTCACAAATGCTCTTGTGGCTGAATGGAAGCATGTCCTCGCAGCAATGTTCCAACATGTAGTGGAAAGTCTTCCCAGGTGAGTGGAGGCTGTTATAGCAGCAAAGGGGGGACCAGCTCCATATTAATGCCCATGATTTTGGAATGAGATGTTCAACGAACAGGTGTCCACATACCTTTGGTAATGTAGTGTACCTTGCAGTGGGTTGGGGAAAGGTAATGGCAGGAGCAGAGTATTATAGCCTATAGAAGTTGACATGATTAGCTGGTAATTGAATTATGTTATCACATTCACACAGGTGCTGCTTACTGTCAGTTCATGGACATGCTTTTCCCTGGATGCATACCGTTGAAGAAGGTTAAATTCCAGGCCAAACTAGAGACTGAGTTCCTCCACAACTTCAAACTTCTGCAGACCAGTTTTAAGAAAATTGGGGTTGACAAGGTGAGTGCTTAGTGTCTTTTTACCTCAGTGTACTTTTGGCTATTCGGTTATTCCTAAATTTCAGCCATTGAGATTGATTGAGTGACACTTTTTTCCAGATCATTCCTGTTGATAAATTGATAAAAGGCAAGTTCCAGGACAACTTTGAGTTTGTCCAGTGGTTCAAGAAATTGTTTGATGCCAACTACGATGGGAAGGAGTATGACCCAGTCAGTGCTCGCCAGGGCCAGGACACTGCTCCTACGCCCAACCCAGGGCAGGTCGCACCCAAGCCCAGGAAGCCCACCACTGGTGAGGAAGACAAATTAATCATTTCTAGCATTTTTATTGTATTCTAAATACCTAATTGAAAATATAGCTGCAAGCAGCAATGGGGGTTCACGTTATAATCCAAGTTACTCTCAGTCAGCTGGTAAAAAAAAAAAGATTGATCCAGTGTCTTTGATGCTTGGACCCTTAAATGCATACTGTATGCATTTCTATTTCAGTACAGCTCCACGGCTCCCCACATGTTATCAAACCATCTGTGAGAGTCGGTAAGGTGGTTTAATGGCCAAACAGGGATCTCCAATGGGCACCTATGGTGGGCTATCACAGTCATGGTCACTATGGAAAGGAATATTGTTGTAAGGCTAGACACGAGTCAGTGGGTGTTAATGTGCAGTTGTGTGTCTAAGGTTGAGGGCATGCACACAGTCCACAGTTATATTATTATTTCCTAGTTTGCTAACTGTGATTTGTGTTGGATCTAGCTCCCATGAGGTCTACAACAATAGTGACCAAACCCCCGCCCAAGTCAGCAGGGAGTGCCTTGCGTAGGCCCGGAGGGGCAGGGGACGTGGAGAGGGAGGAGCTAGCCCAAGAGGTATGGTCTTTAGGCGTGTCACCGCTAATATAAGTTGTTTTGATGCTACAATGAGATTTCCCCTCAATCTCCTGAATGGTTTTTTGTGTGCTAGTTGAATAGTTTATTGAAGTTGTAACATGAGTCATGACAGCCCCGCCCATTCATTCTCCTATCACTAATGTATTCCCTCTTCTGCTCTCGCCTCAGGTCAGTTCCTTGAAGGCCACTGTCCAGGACATGGAGAAAGAGAGAGACTTTTATTTTGGAAAGCTGAGGTCCATTGAGGTCATCTGCCAAGAGGTAGATGGAGAGGCAGATACAACTATGCAGAAGATTATGGATGTTCTATACGCCACTGATGTGAGTCAAACCTCGCCAGAATACTCTCTGACACAGACACAGCTGAGAGGCTCAGTCTTCATTTTCATAACCAATGATTCTGTAGTAGGAAACTAATGTAGCTTTGTATTTGAATATTTAAATAAAAATTGTTTCCTGTTTACAGGAGGGGTTTGTTATTCCTGATTCCGATGCTGAAGGAGAAGAACCAGAAGAGTTCTGATGAAAATGGACACAACTCTAGTCCATACCATAATCATACACACTTATACACACACACACACACAGGTTAGTGAACACACGTTTGCATGTGCAATGTACATACACACGCACTCGTGTGCTCTAATGAACATGCACTTACTCACACATACTGCCACTGTGGATTAAGTTGCCTTTGGATCATACACTGGCTGCCCCCTTGGTCCAAGTGTTTGTTGGTCCAAGTGTTCTTTGGACCATAATACATTTCAGAGAGCCTGCTGATCCAGCCACCAGAGAACAAGAACCCTGGATGAAATTCTAATGGGTCCTTCCTTTCTGGTTTCTCTTCTGCCTTGTCCTTATTCTGGCCTCTGCTGTGCCTTTCAACTTTGGCCTGTTACTTTTGAAATATGTTCAGGTTGTCTTTCTATTCCTTATATATTTCCAATTGACCTAAACAAAACTGTACTAGGTTATTTTGATATATTTGCAAATATGATTAATTATTAAAGATATATGAATATGTTTACTCCGCCAATGAAAATTACTGTAATTTTTATGGTATGTTTACACACATTCATTATATACTTGAGTTCAAATTTGTGGTTTAGGCGATCAGCATTTTGTATTTAGTTTATATGGTTTATCTGCGGAGGTATTCATCACATTACTTTTTTTGAAGTAAAGAAAGTAATGTTTTATTGAGCACCTTAAAAAAAAAAAAAAAAAAATACTGTACTTCTTACTTAAATGCTAAATTAGACTCATTCTGCCATTTGTGTGTTGTATGTAGGCTAGATTTACACTCCAGAGACTAACGTCTCTACCGACCTATGTTCTAATTTACTTCCTCATGTAAGGCAAAGACCGGATGTATGGTTGCTTGTCCACACTGAAGAAATACTTCCTTCTAGTCTACGATAAGACCAGAACTATACACTCTTAGCAGAGGAACTGAGAGCTGTCTTTTAGACCACGGAAGTCTGTTTTAAACTTAGGAGCAATATAAGGTTTCTACAAGCATCTCTTGTCTTTAGAAATGAAGTATTGATTGGAGACACTAAATGTGTTTTTAGGTTGAAGAAATAACTTGTTTTGACAAGTTGTATGTTATTAAAAACTCATGTGTACAATTTTCTAATTCTATTTATTTCTCCACTCATTAAAATGTCCTGACAGACTTCTGCATTGCTTTTGGCAGTTGGTTCTTGGTAGAATAACTACAGAAATCAAAACAAATAGTGATATAGGCTGATAATTAAAAATACATGTAAACATGCCCAGAGTAAAGGGCCATAAATAAAAGGTCTAGAGCCCCACTGTGTGATGGGGGACCCAAGCAGAGACGTGGGTAGCAGGGTGTACTTGTCATTCTGGGTGGTGTCGATGCTGCCATCAATGGGCAGCCCTTTGGGTGGGCTGGATGCTGTTACTGATGGGGCTCCTTGCCTGGTCTTTGGGGGTCAGCAATAGGGAGCACCTGCCTTGTGGGGGCCACTGTGAGGCAGGGGACCTGAGTGGTGGTGTGGGCCCTATTCGTGTCTTGATTCTGGTATATCCCGTTGAGAATCGCCAGCTCCAGCTGCGTCTTCATGTTTTCTTTCCCTCCGCTGTAGGCACCAGGAGTTTCCTGACTTCCACCGCTCTCCTCATTCTGACCTGGGTGCATTCTGCCTTGTCATTCACTCTGATCAGTACGTACAGGTCCTCTTCTAGATTTTCCATGCCGGGTTTGCCTCTGTTCTTTCTGTTGTCCCTCACTGACCCCCATTCTTGCATTTTGATCTGGCATCCGGTTTCCGCTTCCATCCGCTTGACTGTGAGCCCATGAGGCCCCAGTATTCTGCCAACAAAGTTATAGTTTGGGTAGTCTTTCACAGGCACAAAGAGCTTCTCGTGCAGGTGAAAGATGGGGCCCGGGCCTTGGGTAACTGCAGAGGTTGTTTGTTTACAAGGCTGTTCACTGGGTCGTTGAACATGTTTTCTTGCAATCTGTTGATCTCTTCGTCCAGAAGCTTCTTGGTGTGTCAAGATGCAAAACAGATAACTGCTTATCTTCTTTTCGTGTAACAATTGTGTCAAATAGTCAGGACTTCTCTGTCTCGCCTTCCCTTCTGTCTCCCGACTGGCATCTTTGTGCCATCAAGAGTGAAATGTTTTTTATAAACAGAAAAAAACTTGGAAAACTATTGATTTGTATCCCCCTACATTTTGATTGCTGTAGTCAGAATTTGGTTTAATTTGTTGTTTGAAAAAAAAAAAAGACTACCTCTATAGATACCATTGAATACAATGTTATGAAGACTGTCTCACATTGATATCACCAAAAGAGCATTATTCTTCTGTGAGAATTTGAGCCAGTGTCAAAGATGTAAAGCCATGGCCAGTGTGAGCTTGTGGACTGTCACAGGGGCACTGTGAAGGTCAGACGGTAATATCAATATGAAGCTAGTTTACATTAGGTTTAAACTTTAAATGCATGTGTTTGATCACTAAATCACATTTTGAATCTCTTGAGTATTCATTGAATAAATTGCCTGTGTTATCAAAATCATTCACAGCTCTGCCTCTGATGACAAGCAGAAACATACCACAGCTCAGGTAAATCCAGAACAAAATAAATCCACACACTGGTATGCTTTTTTTTATTTGCACAGACACCGTTTCCATTCTAATTGTCTGGGTTTTTGTGAACTTGTCACCCACATTTTGTTCAGTTTCTAATTCATCTCACCTTCCTGAAACATTTTCAAGAGAAAAATTGTTCATGATGGTTTTAATATCGGTCTGACTGAGGTCATCTATATGCTCCCTCTGCAGGGTATGGCGGGGGAGATGGAGCATTCGGGGAAGAACAATGACCTCAGGGAGGAGGACATGCCGGCGCAGGGGGGAGTGGAGAATCAGATCAACGAACAGCACCTTCGCTGCATCGAAAGCATGTTCAGAGAGGCTGACACGGATGGAGGAGGGGGTGAGTGACCCGACCACATTATACCACCTCCGCATAACTAGTAGTCTACCCCAGTATACATTTTAGCCCCTAGTGGATCCCTGCCAGTTTCACCCACCAGCTGCACATTTCTACATAGTGTTGTCATACAAACACACATAACATTGAGTCATTCTGTCTGTCAGGGTTGGATATGGATCAGTTTCGGGATGTGGACATTATCTTTATGAAGGTGGACACCAACTGTGATGGCAGTGTGGACTGGGTGAGAGAGGAAAACAAGACAATGAATGGGAGTGCTGTTTTGTCATCAGTTGACCAACTCCTCTGGTATGTGAAAAACACTTAAACACATTTAAATTCTTACTCTCTTTAACAAAACCTTTGTGTGGTTTATACAGGATGAATATGCTTCTAGAGTACAGGCCACTCTACTTTCCCAAACCATTCAAGATTGTGCCTGTGTAAGTGACATTTAATAGGCTTTGTTTTACAGGTTCCTAAGTAGTACGTGTGCAGTGTATGCGTCCTTGAATTTTTGTGTCTCTGTCTGTGTAGTGCACACTGTGAGGTCATTGTCCGGCTGCAGTTCTACCCATTCCAGCCCCAAGCCGGGAAGAAGAAGACAGACTCTGGGGAGCATGGCCGGAACTCAGGGGGTTCTAAGGGCCGCGCCCACAATGGACGCTACCTGTCAATCAGCCGAAATGGTGTACTCAACTACTGGAACGAGAGGTTCTTGCTGCTGTGCACTGTCAATGTTAGTAGTCTTTGACAATAATGTTTCATATGATGTGAAAAAACTGAAGTAATACATGATGTTAACAGAAATGGAGAACAACCAGTTCTTAAACACTGTTACAAAATAGGACATCCCACAAGCAGGTATGCTTCATGTTTTGCTTGTGTGATGTTCTATTCTCTTGCAGTGAAACATTCTCTGCATGTTTTTCTCTGCTCTAGATAAGTCAGATGCAGCACACAGTGGGCCAGCCCGTCAGGGTGACAGACATGGTCTGCCTGAGCAACATCAACCTGCTCTCGATCTCCTCCACAGGACGAGACGTGGGTGTATCTGTGGGAATATCTGTGCAAATACGTATATGCATGAAAGCATATTGATATGCAGTAATATTATGTTGTACAATGTAATACCTACTGAGTTATAGCTACTGTATGTTGTGCAGTGTGTGTTTGTACAGTGTGTTTGTGTATGTTTTTCTGTCACCAGAATACTATGACATCAGTGCTAGGCTGGACAATAGAACAAGTAAAAATTCACCCAAGGCTGAAAAACGGCCAAAGAACATTGGCTGAGCTGGAACACTAGTTCGAGGCCATAGCAAATGAATTGAACAAACCTTTGCGGAGCCGCTTCGGACTAGAGTGATGCTTAGAACCTTTTTATTTTACCATTACAATCTGTTCTTAAGATGAAACAGAAAAACAACAACTTGTGTAGAAAGTAAATAGCAATAGTGTCAAGTGTGCTTATGTCTACATAATGAGGAAGTAGGAAAACAAATGGAACTTCTGACTATTTCTGGTCTAGCAATCGATGACAGCAGAGTATGCTGCCCAACCTTATGTCATGAGAAAGAGGAGATTATCCTGATTAAAATGGTGTCCGACTTGAATAAATCTAAATATATACATTGTGAGATATTTGGTGAAATAGACAGACATGTCCATGTAGAATTTTCCCATAGGGAAACAATTGGGCAGCCTCAGAGCTCCACCTGTTTTGCAAAATAAATAAATAAACGTTTTTTTGACCTTGCCTGTTTTGCATGTTATTTTGGCATTAATACGTGTCACATATCAGATTGCAAACAATGTAAAAAAATATATATATATCATTGAGTTAATAAAGCTGCATACAAACATGGTCTCTTTTTTGTTTTTTCTTGAGTAAGGCAGCTCCAAAATGCAGGTGTTTCAGCCTAGCTCAGTGCTTTCTGTGGTGGTGGTGGTGGGGCAAGCCAGCAGAAAATTACGGAGCGTTGCGCCGTGATTGGCTCAGTGTTCTGTCACTCATGGGGACACTACGTCACCGCCAAGTCTAAGGGTAGACTTAGAAAATTCAAGCCCCTTGGTTGCTGCCATAGAGTTACATTAGAAGTGCCCTTCCAAGAAGGCTCAAGGTCATTGGCCACAGATAAAATGACGTCAAATCACATTATATGTACAGTAGCTTTGATTGGACTGATACACAAAAATGTATGCACGCATGACTGTAAGTCGCTTTGGATAAAAGCGTCTGCTAAATGGCATTTTATTATTATTATTATTATTATCATGTCAACATCTTACTTTCAAAATCCTAGCTAGCAGTCATCATCATGAATCAAATCGAAAATCTATTGGCAAATCCTTTTTAATCCTTGTCATATGAAGAGAAATTATAGATAAAACGTATCGGTGCTCATCGGCCATTGGACATAAACATTACACAACAAGTTGGAAATCGCAAATTCAACAATGAGTGGTTTGGAAGGAATCGTGACAGTGGCTAACTGCAAGCATTGCAACTGGGAAGTCGTGAATAAGCGAGCTCTGACTGGGAAAATACGTTTTGAACGGTCATCCAACTCAGAATTGTAAATCCGGCCTCTTTCTCTTTCTTTGATGACAAAATTTGCCCATGAAGGACCGCCGCGCCACCTTCCTGTTTAAGTGAGCACAGCACAACAAGGTGAGTCCAAAAATGTATTGTATGCTGCTGCATAAATGATGTAAAATGCCAGGGAGATAGTATTACTTTCTTAGCTACAGTATACATAAGTGTATGTTGTGTAGGAAGCTGTTAGTAGCCCATGTGCCTCACCCTAATAATTTGGTCTATTTTCACCTCTTAATTTCACCTACTGTTCTAACTTGGTGGTGCACATGTAGCCTATAACCTGTTTTAGAGAAATGTTATCATCGAATAGTGTAAGAGCTTTCATTGTCTGCTTAGATGCCCCCTTTATTTATCCTACGGTTCAGACTTGGTGTACAGGGAGAACACTGTAAGAACGGCCCATGTTATGAATTCTGTCGCTGTACATTTCAAAAGTGCTGAACAAATAGTTATATTGACTACGTCCGACGTAGCTCGTTGCCTCTTATCCGCTTGACATCCCCTTGTGCCATAGTTTGTACATCTCAATTGTCGGTAGAAACCACATTTGTTTAAGCAAGTCAGCCATATCAGCTATGTTTTTTTTTAAGGCAGTAAATGAGGCTTAATTAACTGTTTCGCTGCCAGACAAGGCTCCGCTGATAGCCAGGTGTAGCAGTGGTAAGGCTGGGACTGCTGTTGGGACAGCTTTATGTAGGCCCTAACAGTTTGTGGGTATCGTTTGTCACCGTTATAGTGCAATTAATGTATTGTTTAGTGTTGAGTTGTGTAGTGGCTTTGCTGGCATGCATCCCACATTATTATTTTTTTGCCCCACCAAGATTTACATGCTAAAATCGCCACTGCAGCATAGTAAGCTGCCCAAACTTACATAATTAGAAAGAATACGTTATCCTGATTAAAATAGTGTAGAACTTCAAAACATCAAAATACATACATTTTGAGATATTTGGCAAAATAGACAGACATGTCCCTATTTCCCCAGAACAATGGCAGTCTGAAAGTTTTAAGAGCAGTCTTTTATTTAACCAGCTTACCATTTATCTGCTACCATTTGCCTTTAATATTTAAAATGGTGGTTTGAACTAGGCCTCAATGTGAAAGCGTGGCAATAACTTATTAACTTTTCATTATTCACAGATCTACTCCTCTGATGACATGGCAGGCAGACAGACAGGCATACTCCTCTGATGACAGGTAGGCAGGCAGGCAGCACACTTCTGAAAACGAACTGCTCAGCAAAGCAAAGGCTCTTTGGAGTGCTACCAGATTTATTTCAATAAGCTCATTTTCAATGTCTGTGTCTGTGTTTATATGTTAAGGGGGTGTTACTTTGGCAGATAATGTTATCCATGTAAAGAAAGTGTTTTTTAAAAATAATTAAATGTATGGTGTTTTCGGTTTGTGTTTTATGGTTATTTTATGGTTGTAAGTGATAAAATTAACTAGCAAATATTTTATATCTTGCAATTCTGAGTAATTACTACTTCAGTAAGGATATACACTTAATTCAGTGACCTTAGGTATAGAAACTTTTTGATCTGATCGACACATTTTTCCCCAAAAAATTATGAACTGCATTTGCTAATTAATTCCAATAGATGGAAGCATAAAACCACAAATGAAATTTCAAAAGATTAGTTTTATAATAATAATAATATATAATAATAATAATAATAATAATAATAAAGGTGGTGTATCCTAGTTTTCTCCCAGGATACACCACCTCCCCTCACCAGCTGCCAGCTTCCCCTCACAGAAAAACGCCTGGGCACGGTTTTTGTCCAGCCCTTTACACACTGCTAAAAGAGGGAGGACTGAAAAAGTAACAGATTACTGTGAATTAATATAATGATGATTCATGTTTAATATTACCTGTTTTCATGCTCATGTTTTGAAATTATACTTGATGACTATTTCAATAACGATGAACAATAATCTTGAACATTAATTCAGTCACCTCTGGTCGAGAAAAACGTATTTTCCTAGTACATTCATTGTGAAATTCATCAACCAGCATCAAGCCGCACTGCCTTCTCGCGCAAGTAGCCAACTCAACAAGCCCAACCACAAGCTTGTGCCGTCAACGGCCTTCTCGCTCAAGCGAGGGACGTATGTGGTAATTTGCTGCGAGGATTGCATGATGTAGTCTCTTGGCGGGCTGTAGAAGATGCACTTTTATACTCTAAGGTTGTTCACTTGCACTGTCATATGAGATATTAACATGTCCTAAGTGCACGCATACTAGGGTTGAGGTTAACGCATCTGACTGGTAATTAGTTGAATCAAATAGATCCAAGATGGCGTAGCAGAGTGGTCGTGTTCTCTTGTGTGTCCATGTAAATAGCCTGTTTTTTGTATTTTTTTTGTATTTTACGTATATATTTCCCTATCACACTTTTCATCCTTCTACTAAATATACTTTCCTGCAACCCGCCTCACTCAATGTGGAACAGATTCTATTATTTACTCACCTTTATCTAGAATCGCCAGTTTAAACTAGCCAGCCGGCTAACTAGCTACTTGCTATTAGCCACCGTTAGCGGTTTTCACCCAGAACATCGGATTTTCTGCCGGAATAACTGAATCACTGGACCTTAACACCGGATCTAGCTAGCCGCAACCGAATGGATGTTGAATGGATGTTGCTGTAGGCTAATCACCACTGCCCCCGAAGCACCAGTTAGCCTTGAGCCTTGAGCTAGCCCCGGCTATCTACCTCTCTGTCTACCGGACGGGAGTAGCCAGCTAACTAGCTACTTGCTATTAGCCACCGTTAGCGGCTTTTCTCCATTGTCCATGGCCTGCACTACCTACCAGCCAGCTCTAGCCTAGACTATTATCGGCCAGTCTGCACTGTCTGCACAGCGCGTTATCGACCCAGAACCTATCAGATTTTCTGCCAGAATCATTGAATCACTGGACCTTTAGCACTGGATAATCGCAACTAGCTAGCTGCAATCAAATGAACATTGTTGTTGGCTAATCAGCCTTGAGCTAGCCTTGAGTCAGGCACATCTCCCGGCTATCTACCTCTCTGTCAACCGGACGGGACATCCTAGAGTCGACACGGAGACCTGCCGATCCATCACGACTGGTCTGACGAAGATCCATCTGCTGGCCCCGGCCCGCTAGCACACGCAAACAGCTGTGCTTCCTGCTCGCTGTGCTGAAGCACCAATTCGAACTGCTCTCGGACTCACATATTGCTGTTCACTGGACCTTATGATCACTCAGCTGCACAGCTGATGCCTGCTGGACTGTTCCTTTACACGGTACCCTGTCCTGTTTATCTGTTTAGATTCAGCCCAAACTTTATCGCCATTACCAGTTGTTGTCTTAGCTCTCTCTAATAACACCTGTGATTGCTTTATGCCTCTCTCCCATGTCAATATGCCTTGCCTATTGCTGTTCCAGTTAGTTCTTATTATACAATTTCACTGTAAAACCCCAAGTCCCTCTCAAACTGCCTCAAATAGTTCCTTTGTTCCACCCCCCATACACGCCGAGACCGGCTCAATCGGTGCCTCCAGTGATGCTATCTCTTTCATTGTTACCCAACACTTAGGTTTACCTCCACTGTACTCATATCCTTCCATATCCTTGTCTGTACATAATGCCCTGAATCTTTTCTACAACGCCCGGAAATCTGCCCCCTTTATTCTCTGTACCCAACGCACTAGAAGACCAGTTCTTAAAGCCTTTAGCCGTATCCTTATTCTAGTCCTCCTCTGTTCCTCTGGTGATGTAGAGGCTAACCCAGGCCCTGCAGCCCCCAGTATCACTCCTACTCCCCAGGAACTATCATTTGTTAACTTCTGTAACCGTAAAAGCCTTGGTTTTCTGCACGTTAACATCAGAAGCCTCCTTCCTAAGTTTGAGTTATTCACTGCGTTAGCACACTCTGCCAACCCTGATGTTCTAGCAGTGTCGGAATCCTGGCTTAGGAAGGCCACCAAATGTTTCTGAAATGTCCATCCCCAACTACAACATTTTCCGTCTAGATAGAACTGCTAAAGGGGGTGGAGTTGCAATCTACTGTAGAGAGCTCTATCATACTATCCAGGTCTGTGCCCAAACAGTTTGAACTTCTACTTCTAAAAGTCCACCTTTCCAGAAATAAGTCTCTCACTGTTGCCGCTTGCTACAGCCCCCAGCTGTGCTTTTCAGGGAAGTTAGGAGCCAATATACACAAGCAGTTAGGAAAGCAAAGGCTAGCTTTTTCAAACAGAAATTTGCATCCTGTAGCACTAACTCCAAAATGTTTTGGGACACTGTAAAGTCCATGGAGAATAAGAGCACCTCCTCCCAGCTGCCCACTGCACTGAGGCTAGGAAACACAATCACCACCGATAAATCTACAATAATCGAGAATTTCAACAAGCATTTTGCTACGGCTGGCCATGCTTTCCAACTGGCTACCACTACCCCGGCCACCAGCTCTGCACCCTCCGCTGCAACTTGCCCATGCCCCCCCCCCCCCCCCACTTCTTCTTCACACAAATTCAGACAGCTGATGTTCTGAAAGAGCTGCAAAATCTGGACCCCTACAAATCATCTGGACTAGACAATCTGGACCCTTTCTTTCTAAAACTAGCCACCGAAATTGTCGCAACCCCTATTACTAGCCTGCTCAACCTCTCTTTCGTAACGTCTGAGATCCCCAGAGATTGGAAAGCTGCCGCGGTCATCCCCCTCTTCAAAGGGGGTGACACTCTAGATCCAAACTGTTACAGACCTATATCCATCCTGCCCTGCCTTTTCAAACGTTTTTGAAAGCCAAGTTAACAAACAGATCACCGACCATTTCGAATCCCACCGTACCTTCTCCGCTATGCAATCCGGTTTCCGAGCTGGTCATGGGTGCACCTCAGCCACGCTCGAGGTCCTAAACGATATTATAACCGCGATCGATAATAGACAGTACTGTGCAGCTGTCTTCATCGACCTGGCCAAGGCTTTCGACTCTGTCAACCACTGCATTCTTATTGGCAGACTAAATAGCCTTGGTTTCTCAAATGACTGCCTCGCCTTGTTCACCAACTACTTCTCAGAGTTAAATGTGTCAAATCGGAGGGCCTGTTGTCTGGACCTATGGCAGTCTCTATGGGGGTGCCACAGGGTTCAATTCTTGGGCCGACTCTTTTCTCTGTGTATATCAATGATGTCGCTCTTGCTGCTGGTGACTCTCAGATCCACCTCTACGCAGACGACACCATTTTGTATACATCTGGCCCTTCATTGGACACTGTGTTAACAAACCTCCAAACGAGCTTCAATGCCATACAACACTCCTTCAGTAGCCTCCAACTGCTCTTAAACACTAGTAAAACGAAATGCATGCTCTTCAATCGAACGCTGCTGGCACCCGCTCACCCGACTAGAATCACTACTCTCGACGGGTCTGACCTAGAGTATGTGGACAACTACAAATACCTAGGTGTCTGGTTAGACTGTAAACTCTCCTTCCAGACTCACATGAAGAATCTCCAATCCAAAGTGAAATCTAGAATCGGCTTCCTATTTCGCAACAAAGCCTCCTTCACTCATGCTGCCAAACATGCCCTCGTAAAACTGACTATCCTACCGATCCTTGACTTCGGCGATGTCATTTACAAAATAGCCTCCAACACTCTACTCAGCAAATTGGATGTAGTCTATCACAGTGCCATCCGTTTTGTCACCAAAGCCCCATATACAGTGGGGGAAAAAAGTATTTAGTCAGCCACCAATTGTGCAAGTTCTCCCACTTAAAAAGATGAGAGAGGCCTGTAATTTTCATCATAGGTACACGTCAACTATGACAGACAAAATGAGAAAACAAATCCAGAAAATCACATTGTAGGATTTTTAATGAATTTATTTGCAAATTATGGTGGAAAATAAGTATTTGGTCAATAACAAAAGTTTCTCAATAATTTGTTATATACCCTTTGTTGGCAATGACACAGGTCAAACGTTTTCTGTAAGTCTTCACAAGGTTTTCACACACTGTTGCTGGTATTTTGGCCCATTCCTCCATGCAGATCTCCTCTAGAGCAGTGATGTTTTGGGGCTGTCGCTGGGCAACACAGACTTTCAACTCCCTCCCAAGATTTTCTATGGGGTTGAGATCTGGAGACTGGCTAGGCCACTCCAGGACCTTGAAATGCTTCTTACGAAGCCACTCCTTCGTTGCCCGGGCGGTGTGT